CACAACAGCTTACCCGCACGCCACACAGCCGTGAAGAGATAAGGCGAGGATTCTCTACTGCATCTAAAGAGTAGTGATTGATAATAGGTATAAGAGGGCGATGATCCGTGAAGAGGGTGAAGTGCTGAAGTCCTATCAGGTAGAAGCGGCACTTCGCCATCGCCCAGACAACAGCCAACATCTCCAGCTCAATCGTGGCATAACGGGTCTCAGCGTCCGTCAGGAACCGGGATCCACACTGAATTAAGCGGAGTTGTCCACCGCCATAGTCCTGCAGAAGGGCGTAACCAACACCGTAGAGTCTGTAGGCGTCAGTCTGGAGGACGGTGGGTAGGGCTGGGTCATAACAGGCGAGGACAGGTGGACTCAAGAGGGCCTGCTTGACTCTCTGGAAGGCCTCTTGATGATCTAGGGTCCACAGGAATGTTCTCCTGGGGCTCAGCAGGGGGCGTAACGGCTGGGCTGCGGCGGAGATGTCAGGTGTAAATTCCGCCAGCTGATTGACCAGACCCAAAAAAGAACGGAGGTCTGTCAGGTTGGCAGGGGTTGGAAAATCCCTGATTCCACTTACTTTCTCCGGGTCAGCTGCGATGCCTGATGCTGAGAGAGTGTACCCACAGAAGTTCACTGATGGTGCGGCGACTACAAACTTGTCAGCGTCGAGTGTAATCCCGTACTTTCGACATCTGGTGAGAACTTCATATATTCGGGAGAGGTGGGCACAGTAGTCTTTGTCATGGAGAAATATTTCATCAACCACTTTGACACAATTCGTGACTCCTTGAAGGGCTGCGTCACCACGTTGACAGAATGCATCGCCCGTAGCGGCAAATCCCATGGGGCTTCTGCAATACTGATATCTTCCATACGGTGTGATGAATGTAGTCAAATGCTGGTCTTCTTCGGCCAACTCGATCTGCCAATAACCACATAAGGCGTAAAAAACTTTGCCTTCGGGTCCACATTTCGAACAGCTGCGAAGGGTGTGGGTGAAGGGTGGGCTGGACAGGAAACTTGCTGGTTAAGTTTTGACAGATCGGTGGTGATCCGTACTCCACCACGAGGTTTGGCGACGGGGACGAGAGGGTGGCACCAAGGTGAAGGTTCGTCTCCGGCCGGCTTGATGATTCCCTGAGTAACCATGGAGTCAAGCTCTTGTCTAACTAGCTCCTTGTAGGCGTGAGGAATCAAACGAGGGGTGTGGATGGCAAAAGGTATGGCACCATCCTTAAGATGAACCTTCATAGGTGGACCCACCATCGGCTTGAGTGGTGTGGATCCTTAAGATTTCTTCGTAACCAACACGTCAGCAAACTCCTTGAGAAGGTAAGCTCTTGCATCAGAAGGGGGCGTGTTAGTAGAGATAGGGAGTTCCTTCAACCTGTTGACATGGGTGACCTTTAAAATAGGTTTAGGGAATTCCTTGGAAATAATGGCCAACTCTTGACAATGGCCATATGATAAAAGAGGAGTCGGGATCCCATCATGAACATCAATCCGGGCTGAGCAAGACTGCTTACCAAAGGTAAGAGTAGCCCAGAAAGATCCCAAAGCTGGAGCCATCTTGGAACCATCAGCTGTCAGTTTCGTTGTCTGAGGAGGGGGCTGTAGGTTGCTCCCGGGTATTCCCAAACTTGCTAAGTGTTGTGGACCAATTACTGAGACGTCAGCACCGGTGTCAGGTAACATCTGAAGACTGGATGACAAGTTACCGTGAGAGATGACGACATTGATGTGCTGGGGCGTCGTGTCTGTGGAACTACGTACACGACGGCAGGAACGACTGGACACAGCGTCTTGATGCTTGCCAGAAGGAGGGGGCGCGCCAGCACTACCTGAGGATGACTTCTTGGATCCTTGGTGGTGTCCTTTATGTGTCTTCTTACGACAACATTTGTCATAATGGCCCACACGACCACAAAGTCTACACTGAACTTTGCCAGCAGGGCACTTGACTGTGTAAGCCCAGTGACCCTGGCGGTCGCAACTTCTGCACACGCTTTGAGCAGTTGGGCACTGGGAGGCATTATGCTGTCTCGCACAGCTGTTACACAAAGCTGCTGCTGAAGGTTTGCTGCTTCTTACCCTTTCTGTAGGAAGACACCGCCCTCACCTGGTCAGGTTGTGAGCGTAAAGCTGAAGTCGCACACCTGGCGGCCTCGTACGCTCGACATTTTGTAACAACATCTTGAAGGGAGGAAGTGGGGTCAAGGGAAATAAGACGCTGAACTAGCTCTTCATCTCGGACACCCGTTAAAATGATTGTCTTGAGTTGTGTCTCTTCACAGACTTGAGAATGTCCGGGACAAACATCAACTTCCTCTGAACATCTCTTGAGTCTTACAAAAAATGCGTCAAAAGATTCTCCATCAAGCTGCTTACACTGGAGGAGTTCCCTTCTTCTGAGTGCTTCGTTGCGCTGTCCCTTGACATGTTCCTGTAACTTGTCGAGCACGGCCTCTACCGTCAGAGTTGTCGTAGGAGGCACTTGAAGTGTGTGCTCGAGGGTACGTTGTGTCTCTAAGGACAAACACATACGAAGCTGTATCATCTGTTTCGGCTGTGATAAACTTGACAAGTCAACCATTGTTGCATAGTCTTGCCAACGTCGACGCCATTCCCGAAACATCTGATAAGAAGCGTCAGACATCAGAGAGGGAGGCGTGTGTACTGCAGCCTTTTGAGGTGTTGTTGATCCGACTCTGGGAAATGAGGTACCAGTACCACTAGTCGTATCAACATCAGTAGTAGCAGACGAATCTTGTACGGTAGATCGTTGTGGGGAGGCTAACAGAGAAATCAAGACTTCAAATCTGGCTTGATCCTCTGTTCTTCTCAGGTCATCCTCACTTCTACGTATGTCTTCGAGTTCTCTGCGTCGTTGTTCCTCTTCATGGCGCCGTTTTTCAGACCTTCTGTACCGACTTTCTTCCTCTTCTCTCCTTGCAATATCGTCCTGGCGTCGAGAAGTTTCCATCCACTTAATCAGTTGAAGGAGATCTGTGGACGCATGCATCGCAGGAGAGCTGGCTCGCGACGAGCGAGGAGATTCTGTGGGTGACTGGGCGTCGTCAGTGTGGGGAGCGTGGGGCCTGAGTGTGGGTGGGGAGAGGTCTCCCACACTAAAACTCATAACCCCATCGTCCAGGGTATCGTTTTGATCCCTGTGAGACATGCCGACTGCTTCTGTACTCTATCTGTGCAAAAGACCGGGTCAGCCCCTCATAATCTATGCACAGAATTACAGAAGTCTACAGTATGTCACAAGAATTTAATATAAGGTGAGTGTGAATGCGTGTGTGTGTGTATGGCGGGAGGGACTTGGCGCGCTGCCAGACGTAGGAGCAACTGGGCAGCGTCGAGCGCTGGTCGGTTAGTTACCCTCAGACCAGAGACGGGAGAGCACATACCGTCGGGCCGCTCCCTTAGTCATCTGACCGCAATTTGCAGACAATTATGATTAAAATACACAACACAGCATAGCACTTCACAACACTGTAAGTCTAGAGGCTTGTAGTAGTCTTGCTGTAGATCATGAAGCTGAAGACGAGACGCCATTAACAGAGTCCGGGTGGGAAGGCTTGGTCCACTGTATCTCACTGAGAAATAATCACTGCACCATCTAACGTTCGTCTTGATACCTCCAAAATGTTCTATACTACTGAAGGTATACACAAACACTTGTTACCTTAAAAGTAGGTTCTATTCTCGTACGGGAGATATATACAAGGGGACCAAGAAGCTCGCGTCCGCACCACAAGGACTGGCTGTCTTCACTCTACATGTATTACTGAGCGTTGCATGTACAGATGCCAGCATTCACAAGCTGAATACATAAAGTATAAATATGATAATTTATATACATAACATGGTGCACAATAAATGGGAATATTACATATAATTAATACATGTTCTGCAATACTTTACTATACATAATTAATACAGTAATATAAGGGTACACAGCTGAAGGTACTACTTCGTGTCCATATCATACATTAACTGTCAGCATAACATTTGTGCAATAGCCTTTACTGTTGGACTAGGCTAATGAGCATTACTTATCAATACATATAACAATAAATATGCCATGTTGCTTCTACTTCAAGTCTGCTAGCCAGGAAAATGGCTAGGTTGAGAACAACCCTTCAGGGATGATGCTCAGATTTTTTTCTTGGTGTTACCAATAAAAAAATTAATTTGTTGTTGAATTAAAACAAATTGTTGATAAATGGAAATAACTACAATTGTATGCCATTTTAATGTACTGTAGTTTATTTCCTAGAACTCTACTAAAAAGTTATAAGGACCAATATTTAGGTCGATGGACATTGGACAATACCAAGTTATTTCTTTTATACATTTTATACAGTTCAGTGGTGGAGAAGAATATTGCTACAGTTTCATAATAAAGTAAAAAAGATCCAAAAACATCTGCCTAACACAAGTATTTCACAAAACATAATCTCACCAGTTCACACCGAGACACCGAAACATCAACCACACTTACCCTTGATATAGAGGTCAGCCTTTGCTAATTCCTCTCCAAGTTCATTATAAGCCTGACTTATGACTTAACCCTCATCCTCCATTTGTGCTGCTATGAGCTGGCAACACAAACAACCACCAGTGAGTCACATATTGCTACATTTTCATTATTTTGTTGGTCAATTGTAAGAAATTACTTTCACAGTTTTCCAGTCAAGACTTATGTAAAGTTTCTATTAAATTATGAAACCACACAACAACTCCGCATTTACAAGAATAGGTGATTGTGATGTAGGAAATGATGATGTTGTTCATCAAAATAAATGTGACCAGGACAGTAATCTTACCTGTAAAGAACCATTAGGCAGTCGTAAGAATCGTGAGCGCATTTCACCAGGAGTAAAACTCCAGTGTATGGGTGAGGACGGATAGGGAGATAACAATATGATAAGAAGAGTATTACTGTATACACCTTTCGAATTATAGCCACCATACCAAAAACACTATGACCTTACCTGAAGTAATGGGCGGACGTGTGAGGATAGGAGGCGTGTGGACCACCAGATGAGCCGTGGCTTCAGCTGCCCCGGCTTCATTGCTCACCACACACTTGTACTCACCCGCATCAGAAGCTTCTGATGAATTAATGACCTAAATGACAGAGAAAAATGTAATTAAGGATACCAGTATAATAATACTGTAGTTTGGCGAAGGTTGAGAATGTGTAGTAAACAGCAAACTGGTAATGGTGAGTTGACATGACTACTGGGAGAAGCATCATTTTAAAACCCCTTTATTAATGTGCCTTGACAATAAAAGCCAGTCTATAACTTAAGGCAGAAAGATTTCTAACCTAACCTGGGACCTGACTTGTAGATAAACATGTAAAGATGCCATTCTTATTTTACTGAAAGGAAAATAATTTAGTACAGTCATAAACAAAAGTCCTGCTGCCTCTTCTGCTGCTTAATGAACCCCAAGATTCAGACTTGTGAACCTGAAGCATTTATGGACAGAGTAATGCATCAGTGTCTTCTGCTTAGGGTTCACAAGTCTGAATCTTGGGGTTCATGAAGCAACAAAAAAAGGTGATGGGACTTTTGTTTGCGACTGTACATAGAGAGAGACAGGTAACTTAACAACTCCTCACAAAACACTATAATAGCAATATAAACAGACTTCAATTACTAGTTCAAAGATCATAGTACCAGGGAACCATTATCCATCAAGTGAACTCTGTCTGAAGAATGTACAGTGTCCCTCCTTGATCCAGGTGGTGGCAGGAGCCGGGTCACCTTCAGCAACACGCGTTAAAGTTACGACGTTCAGCTCCAACACAGTCATCTCCTCACGGGCGTACATGAACACAGAAGGAACTGTTGGCACCAGATATATAAAGTGAGTGCAGTAATGAACACTATAGGTGCTCCTTGTTATACCTAGATTGTTCTATGCCTTGTTCTATTTACTGTAAATATTGGGAATGTTATCCACTTCCAACATTTATTGCAACCATTTCTAATATTTACTCTAAGTACGAAATGGTAAAATAACTACTGGTATAGAGACTTTTTCAACACCTTGTAGTATTAATATGTATAGCAGTTTACTTGATCATCCATATTATAGGAGGACATAAGCGATAAATTGTTATATATCATGTGAAAAAACTAACGGACCCTCGATATAATAGACTTTCATTTCCATATAGTCTGTTAAATAGAGGTTTCACTGTAATCATATTCTAAACGGCAACAAATACTGAAAAGTCATTAACAATTTTAAGTAAATAAATCTTTTAGAAAATGGATATACAACAGTTAATACATGATATGAAGAATAAGAAGAGAAATAACAAAAAGATAACAAAAATGACTGAAGTGGGAGTAATAAATATGGAAGATGGGGATGAGTAGGGGGAAGAAAGGGGGGGGGTGTGGCACTGTCAAATCTTACCCCAAGAGGCACTGATCCTCCCTACACCGCTGCCCAATAGACTGAGTGTTATCCCATTCATCAATCAGTCCATCAAGAGAAAGTTCAGAGAGATTATGCAAGGACCCTGACTGTTTACCTGGGCCAGTATCTCACCTGTGTTCCGTTTAAGAGTCACCTGATGGTACGGACAGGAACACCCACAGCCTCACACTCCAGCTTAAACCTGTCAACACATCCAACAACAACTCGTAAATAAAGAATAATACAAATCTATGATAATTTATGTTGTAAAGTCACTCAAAAATTATCTCTTTAATCCAATGTTGCTGTAAACACATTCTAAGTTTGGTTCCACATTCACACAAACTCAGTTGAATGTTTGTTTTTCTTATTAAATAATGAAATAAAGAAAGCAGCATTGCATACACAGTAAACGCTCAAAAAATCATCAAGTGGAGTATTTTGACTGAACACAAACACCTTACGACAGGTGTAAAGATTCATCTCCACTCACACCAGCATAAACGAGAGCAACCCGTACATATCTTACCTGTCCCCTCGGGTGACCTGAGTGGTGCGAGGAAGGACAGTGAGGCGGGGAGGGACCCTGACTAGGACCTGTCTGGTGCCCAACATATCGTACCGCAAACATGTATTGTTTCACCAACCCCCAAAATAGTAATGACTATATAATTTATTTAATTTAAAAAATAACCACAGCCTATTAGTTTAGTTTAACAAATTTATTGACAAAGCTTGGTGTACTGTTTGCCTATTCTGAGTAATTCAATCAGGTTTTGACACTGAGGGTGGTATTGTGGGGTACGAGTTGTTTGGTTCACACTCAGGATGCGATGAAGAAAGGAAACTCACAATGTGCTCTCTGTGTACATGTTGTATTGGATGTACAATGCAGCTTGGTGCTGGGAAGTGGCAGCGTGGTTACAAGCGTGATGTAGAGAGAGCTGGTTGGTGAGGATGCTCAGAGGAGGACCAGCTAGTGGGTCGCCAGGCTCGCCGGCGGGAGCGAGGACCGCCAGGCAGCGGCGAGGTGGTGTTGCTTGCTGCGGCTGTAGCTAGTCACCACGAGGTCAGGTCTTAAATAGCGGAGGTAGGCGTGGCTTAGTAGTTGACCTCCGTCATGTAAGGCGGCGCTGGTTGACCAAGACAACGAGGCATACACTGGGGAATTCGCGGGGTCGGCTACTCAGCGACAAACAGCGTTTGTAGGGGAGAAATCCACTACAGTATCACTTCTCACTGCCAAGCAGGACAGAGGTTCATACACAAAGAAATACATCATATTCATTAACAGCAATATATATATAGAGGTCAGATTCATGTGGGTAATGTCACTGTTCGCTGTCATGCAAGACAGTGGTTCACATACATTGGACGTCATATTCTAATTGAGGACTAATCAGCGTGGGCTAGCAAATTTGGGATAAACAGCAAGAATGTCAAAGCGAGGGTTGGATCCTCCATCTCGGGAGAAGGAAGGAGGCGGGTCACCAGTGCTTGCAAAGTGCGCCCCTATTGGGTCAGGGTGTCCAGAATGAGTTGTTGTTGCCTCTGCAATGTCGCAATTGTTTTCACAAACGAGTTGAGAATGCGGGTCCTGAATGGGATCACCGACATGTTCCCAAAATTCACGGAGTTTTTGGACACAAACAAACTATCAGTCGAATTGGTGAGAAATCCGATCCGTTGTCACCTCACTGCACTGACTGAACATTTCAGTTCGTACTTCACTGATGTTGACACCGATGCCTGGGACTGGGTTCTGGATCCATTTGTTGCCCATTCATCAGCGCGTGGTCTCAGTGGAAAGGCGGAGGAAGAGCTGTTGGAGCTGTCATGCGATGAGACCCAGAGGATCCGGTTCCGTCAAGGTGTGCATGTAGACTTTTGGCCTTCTGTTCAACAGGAGTATCCTGAACTCGTTGCTGCTGCTATGAAGATCTTGCTCCCTTTTCCAACTACGTACCTCTGCGAGGCATCTTTCTCAGCCTCTGACAGCCATGAAGACCAAGTACAGGGCTCAGATACATGTGGAGAATGACCTACGAGTATGCCTCTCGTCCATCCCTCCAAGGATAGAGAAGTTGTGCACTGTGAGACAGGCCCACATCTCGCATTAATAATGATAAAGAGACATTTAATATTGGTGTGTGTATGAAAGAGAGAGAGAAAGTGCTTGAATTTATGTGGATCTCTGATGCTATTTCCCTGGTGGAGATATGTTGCATTTATTGATTTTGCTTGTTATGCGTGTGTTCACTTGCAGAGAAAAGTGATAAGCCTCATCTATCCACTTGCCTACCAACCAACATACAGTAACTGTCGTCACTGTGGTAGAGAGGGACTACTCAGTACATGTGTATTGGATGAAGGATGCAGTTGTATGTCTCCTATTTTTGGATTGTACTTTTTTATTTGAATTGTTCTTTTGAGTTTTGATACTATCAAAGGTGCCACTTGGGGATGGGGTTAAAGTTACTTTTTGGCTACTGTTTGTGTGACTCACAGCTTTCCCTGAGTGTTAATATTCTGAAATGGTGCACAGATATATCCAATACATTTCTTTTGATTTGTATTTGTTTGTCCACATAGCCTATATAGAAGTGTGAAAAACAAGCCTAATATAAAATTATTTTGGGGGATATATGTGAGGGGGTCCTTGGTTTATTTTCTCTCATACAAGGGGTCCTTGATTGAGAACCCCTCGTAGCGCTCTTCAAAGGTACTGTCATCCCGTCTGCTCCCCGAGATATACTAGAGAATAAGTTTAACGAAAATGTCCTGAGGAGGGCCACCATCACAGACCGGTGCCAGTCCTACGGCACCTCAGTTGCCCGGAGAGATTATAACACCTGCAACTGTCTAGCGTATGCTATACAGTAGAAGGGCAAGGGGTAGCCTAATTGAAGTTTAGAAACATCTCAGAGGGCACTACTTGATCGAGTGTCCATACTGGAGCTGGCGGACGCCCGCCCCATAAGGGGTCACAGTTCGAGGTTGAAGAAGCCACATGTTCAGAAAATTGTGAGGGCAAACTTTTCCCGAGTGAGAATTGTAAACTCTTGAAACAACCTGCCAGAGTGTTGTGACCGCATCGAGTATGAACAGTGAGCTCTCTCTCAAGATCAGACTTGACATACACTGGCGCAAGTACAAATAAATAATTCTGGAGCCAGTACATGCCCAGATAAGACGCTGGTATGATGCTAGGCACTTGGAGTGATAAATTAGAATTGGTTAATATCAATATTACAATAAATTCAATGCGTCTGTCAGATTCTCTGAATTCTTTAGATCAAGGAACTGCAACTATAAATACGACCTGACTGCTGACAATTTGATAATAGACGAAATAATGCAGTTATTTCTCACTGGTTCATCAATGATTAGTTATATTACAGTTTTCACTACAACTACGCACATTTAAAGCTTTTAACCTATTTCTCAATTGATCTTGAATGCGTCAGCTAACATTAGGTATACATAACTGCCAGGGACGTCATTTTGGGGGGCACAGCCCCCAAGACCTGACTTTACCCCCCCAAGACCTGGCTTTGCCCCCCAAGACCTGGCTTGCCCCTCCCTAGGACTGTCTTGCTCTCCAAGGAAAATTATAATAATATTCCTTTTTCTTGTACACGAATTTAGATTTGGTGAGAACATCTCAGTGGTATTTTTACTATGTATAATTAAACAAAATGATAAGTATTCAATATTTTCATCGTTCCCATTAACTATAATTTATAAACTGAATAGCAACAAGGAAGTAAGCCATATTGCTAGCAGCCACACGGCCCACACCGGCCAGATGCAAATTTAAAATATAAAACGTGTTGGAACGTGTTCCATCTGTTACAACACCACCCGGCGGCACCACGGTGGAGCAAGATTTTGATCCTTACTCTTTGCATGTAATGGTGTTCCCCACAGCAACATCTGAAATGACACCCCTGATAACTGCAAACATAAGAGTTCAATCGTAATCTTAACATAAGGCTGTGTTGGAATTTAGAAAACGGGTATATAAGGACATACGACAGAAAATTTACATTTTAGTGGGTGACTCAGGAAAAAAAGTTATTCAGGTTTTATCTTTTTTCTTTCTTTCTTTTTTTATTCTCTTCACCACTTATCGGCTCGTTAGCCGCTTGGGAGATGGGTCACGTCTCTGTTACGCACTGTTGGCAAGTACTGGGTATACACCGGCTCCTGAATGTACCTGAACCCGCTCCAGTGTTGGTCAAGCCTTGTCTTGAAAGAGCTCACACTCGGTGCCGTCACAACGCTCTCTGGTAGATTGTTCCAAGAGTTTACAACCCTCACTTCGAAAAAGTTTGCCCTCACGGTTTTCTGGACTTGCGGCTTCTTCAATCTTGAGCTGTAACCCCTTGTGGGGCGAGCGTCCGCCAGCTCCAGGTAAGGACACTCAACTGAGTAGTGCCCCCTGAGATGCTTATACACCTCAACTAGGTCCCCCCTTGCCCGTCTGTAGTATAAGCTAGGCAAGTTCAGGCGCTCCAATCTCTCAGGGTAGCTGAGGTGCCGAAGGGCAGGCACCAGTCTGGTGGCCCTCCTTTGAACATTTTCAACCAACTAACAGTCCCTAGCATATCTAGTGGACCAGACGGGGTGACAGTACTCTAGATGGGGAAGCACTTCACTCTTGAAGATCGTTACGAGGGACGGACCGCCTAGATATCTGAACGACCTTCTTATAAGACCCAATAATTTATTTGTCTGATTTACCTTCTTCTCACAATGGCCCGAGAACTTCAGCTCATTGTCAACATACACACCTAGGTCCTTCTCACATTGTCTCAAATAGTGCAGTTTCTTCATCCCGTTGGGACATATGGTTCACCTCCTTACCGTTGGGACGCCCCAGGTGCATCATCTTACACTTCGTGACATTGAATCACAGCAGCCATTTCTTCGACCATTCTTGGAGCCCACAGAGGTCCTTCTGCAGCTCTTCACAGTCCGCTTGATTCTTGATTTCCTGAAATAACTTAGCGTCATCGGCAAACACTTGTATGGAGGAGTGTACAACATCAGGCATGTCATTAATGAAACAAACAAACAACAACTTGCCCAATACACTGCCCTGTGGTACCCCGCTTGTGACAGGTACGGATGATGATTTCGTGCTATTAATCACCACACACTGCTTGCGGTCATGTAGAAAGTCTTTTATCCACGCTAGGACA